GACGCCGGCCGCGGCGCGCTGGACGTGGCGGATGGCGCGGCGCACGCGGCGCAGGTCGACGTCGACCCTGCCGCCCAGGACGCCCGCACCGTCGCCGTCGCGCGCCACCTTGTCGACGTCGTCGAGGTACGCCTCGAGCTTGGCGGCGTACGCCTTGACGTCGATGGGCGAAAACAGCGAGGCGGCGGTGCGGATGGCGGCGAGGCCGAGCACCTTGCTCGCCGCCTCGTGCCGCCGGAAGCCCGGGTCGCCAAACTTGTCCATCCAGTAGAAGCTGTCGTAGTTGCTGTGGTACATGTAGACGGGGTCGGTGCCGCCGGCGCGCGCCGAGTAGCCCATGTCGGTCGAGGCGATGCCGAGGTACTGGAGGAAGACGGTAAAGTCGGAGCCGCTGCCCAGCGGGCTGACGGTGTCGAGCGTGATGTTGGCCCCGGCCCCGGCCCCGGTCCCGGCGTCGCCGCCCTGGGCGTTGGGGTCGGCCACGCTGGCGGCCGAGTGCTGGAGCAGGCCGGCGAGCGAGGGCGATGCAAAGGCGTGGAACTGGGAGCCGGACACCGACACGTCGGCATTGTGGTAGGCGACGGCATTGTCGCGGATCCACTCGGCGTGGTCCTCGCCAAACTCGGTCGATCCGACCAGGCCGTACTCCTCGGCGTCCCACGAGGCAAACATGATGGTGCGCAGCGGGCGCCAGCCGCGCCTGTAGAGCTCGCCCAGGCCCTTGATGGTCTCGTGGAAGGCGGCGGTGCCGCTGTTGGGGTCGGCGGCGCCGAAGGTCCACGCGTCGCGGTGGTTGCCCATGATGACGACCTCGGAGTCGACGAGGCCCGGCAGCACGGCGTACGTGTTCCAGATGTCGCGCACCTCGAGGTCGACGTGGTTTTCGACGTGGGCGACGTCGTCGCTGGGGCCCGTCCAGTACTCGATGCCCGGCAGCGCGCCGGGCATGCGGTCGTTGATGTCGCGGGCGGGCACGCCCTTGCCGCGGAGGCTCTCGAGGAGCGGGCGGGCGTCCTGGTACGAGAGGGGCAGCGAGGGGATCTTGGGCAGGCTGTCGGCCGTGTCCGGGTCGAGGCGGGTGGCGTTGCGGTAGGATGGCTTCTCGGGCGTGGCCGGGTCGCCCGGGTAGATCGACAGGCCCTGGACCGATCCGCGCTGGACGGCGCTCGGGTGGCGCGCGGGCCCGTCCGGGTAGGCGGCGTAGCCGTTTCCGACGGTGACGTTGCCGTCCTCGATGGGGTCGGTGTAGATGAGGCAGGCGACGGCGCCGGCCTCTTGGGCGGCGCGCACCTTGAGGCCGCGGAAGACGCCGCCGTAGGAGACGAGGACGACCTTGCCGCGGACGTCGATGCCGCGGGCGGCGAGGCCGTCAAAATCCTCCCTGCGCCCCATGCCGGCGTAGACGATCTGGCCGCTGGCGGAGCCCGAGGCCGAGTAGCCGTGAAAGGTGGGCACGCCCTTGGCCGAGGTGGGGTCCTGGTCGAGGACGTCCTCCTTGAGCGCGGCGGTAAAGTAGGGCTCGGGAGCCGGTTGGTCGTCGTCGCCATCCGAGGGGCGGGGCCTGGAGAGGGTGAGGCTCGAGTTGATGGGGTAGTTTAGCCAGACCGAGTAGGTGTCGGTCCAGGCGCGCGGGCCGGTGGCATGGCCCTTGCCCTGGACGTGGTCCTTGCTCTCGTTGGAGCCGGCGTCAAAGACGAGCTGGGTGCGGTTGTCGGGGAGGTCGATGCCGAGGAGGCCGGCCCACTCGTCGAGGACCTGGAGGGCGAGGTGGTAGTCTGCGTCGAGTCCGGCATAGTGGGCGTGGCGGGTGTAACGCTCGAGGGCGTCGCGCGCGCCCTTTGCCGAGGGGATGGCGAGGAAGCTCTGCTCGAGGTGCTCGAGGTGGTTGCGGTGGCCGTGCGACGCGGCCGGGATGGGGGCGGCCGAGATGGACTCGAGGTTGTCGAGGGCGGAGCGGTAGGCGGCGACGGCGGCGGCGTGCGGGCAGTGGGGTCGCGGGATGGCGGCGCCGAGCTGGTGGCGCAGGTCTGCGGCCATGTCTGCGAGGCC